GTCACAATTGTAGTGAAACAGATTCAGATATGGATGATGAAAAGAAGAATGTAATTGAGCTTGTGCAAAAAGCATTTGATGAAATTCTTCTCCCTGAAGCTGAACACATCTCTTCTGATGATCATTCAAATTCTAGAAGCTATGGTTCTGGAGAAGTACTCTTAGAAAAGAGTGAAGGTAAAGTAGAAGAAATGAATGCCACAACTTTTGCAGAATCTCCTAAAGAAGCACAGGAAATGGAGAACAAACCAAAAAGATGGAGCCATCTGAGAAAGCTAATCCTCTTGAAAAGGTTTGTAAAGGCATTAGAGAAGGTAAGAAACATCAATCCAAGAAGACCAAAACAATCTTCTTCAGATGTCAACTTTGAAGCTGAAAATGTTGTTCTTAACCCCCAAACAGCAGAAGAGAGGAGAAAATCGGAGGAGTGGATGCTTGACTATGCACTTCAAAAGGTTATTTCTAAACTCGCACCTGCTCAAAGACAAAGAGTGAGGCTTTTAGTAGAAGCTTTTGAAACGATTCGGCCATTTCAAGATGCTGAAAATGGACTGCAGTCTTCCACGACAGTGGAGTCTCGGGAAAATCCAATTGAATCACTTGATGCTTCCAAAAATCATAGCAAGGAAGAAGTAAATGAAGGAAGGAATTCTGTTTACTCTGCTAAGACATTGCTTGGAAAACTTTCATGTTCTAATGACAGTACTATGGAATTTTCCGATAAAGCTAGGGAAAATTCAATGAATGAACTTTGCAATTCTTTTGAACCAGTGGAAAATATATGCAATTGTCAGGAGGAGGCTCCAACCAATCGAATAGTCGATGAAGTTCCAAATGATTTGGTTTCAGATTTGAATACAGAAAATACGAGTATCAGATCTGAGTCGCCTGAGAGATATTGTGAAACCAAGAATGTCATTGGTGATAATAGTGAACAATTTTCTTTGACTAAAAGCTTAATCCTAAATGGTCTTGTGAGATCTCTGAAATCTAATTTGGTTGGCCCAGAAACACCGTCGAACCTATTAGATGAACCAACAAGAGACAGAAAAGATATGATTGAAAAAGATCAGCTGGGAACATCCGAAGCTCCTACAAGTGCCGTTGTAGAATCTGAGACTCAGGTAGAGAAACAAGGCAACACAGGGCTATGGTTCATGGTGTATAAGCACATGGTATCAGATATAACTGAAAACAATCCCAAGACATTAACTGATGGGCCAGATGAGAAAGTGTCAGAGTATGAAGGTAGCATAACAAGAGAAAATTCTGTCTCTTATGAAAGTACACCTGTTAATATTCCAGATATGCACTTCAAGGATCCTGTTGTAGCAGATGCCGAAGTTGAACTTCGACAGATTGAAGCCATCAAGATGGTAGAAGAAGCAATTGATTCCATCCTTCCAGACAGGCAGCCACTTTCTGACAATAACACACTTGACAGAACTGAAAGAATGTACAGTCAAGGCTTGAACCAAAAAGAAGAAAAGATGGAATCTGGCAATGGAATAGCCAAGCAACAAAAAGAAGAATCATTATCAAAGGAAGGAGACAAACCTAAACAGAAATTGTCTAGGAACTGGAGCAATCTTAAAAAAGTGATAATGCTTAGGAGATTCATCAAGGCATTGGAAAAAGTAAGGAAATTTAATCCAAGAGGGCCTAGATATCTACCATTAGAACCCGATTCAGAAGCTGAAAAAGTTGAATTGAGGCGTCAAGATATGGAAGAAAGAAAAGGCACAGAAGAATGGATGCTTGATTATGCACTTAGACAGGTTGTGTCCAAATTAACTCCAGTTAGGAAGAGAAAAGTGGAGCTGTTAGTCGAAGCTTTCGAGACAGTCGTGCCAACCGTAAAAAATTGAAACTGGCTGAATACAAGAATAGCTTTGTATGTAAAATGCATTCATGCCAATTTCAAACAAGCTGATAGGTAGAGATGTGCTAAACTACAATTGAGGAGTCTGATTTGGTGTTTGAATCTAAATGTGCAGGCCATCAAGGAAATGCATTTGATCACAAATTGCAAATCCACAATCCTATGAGATGATTATGCAGTTTATTGTTTGTGGCAACATTGTGTGAGACTACATGATATTAAATGTTGTGTACAATCATATAGATAAAAGCGTTGAATGTTTGATTTCTTTGCTTGTTCTGATGAATACATTTGAATTTGTTTACATATATTTGATCATGCTATGCTATACAATAAGACTTGATCAGTTGATCCTATTATTTGTCACGGGTTAGCTGTTGGTCGTTACTAGTGACATTTCTTAGAAACAAGGTGAGTCCACAGCTCTCATCGATATAGTTCTTAAGAAAAAAAAAACTTCTGTTACATAAAAGTTATTATGATGTTTATATCACAAAATTGAACACTGAATCAAAATCTACCTCTAGGATGGCAATGGATATTTATGAGGATAGATATTTGTGGATTTTAAAATACCTGCCGATTTTTTAAATTGTAATTTTTTAATTTTTATTATATTGAATAAAAAATTTATCTTTAGATACATTTATCATATTAAATTCAAATGAACTGGAAAATACTATAACTAATACTTCTTTATAAAGAAAAAAATAATTTCAGATTTAACACAAAATAATAGTATAGAATGCTCTATCTACATCTAGGGTGGCAAAGCAGGCTGTCCGTCCCATTTAAGTCAAGTCCGCCCCATTTACTGACGAGTTAACAAGTTGGTGGACCGACCCACCAATTTTTTTTATAACTTGATTTATTACATAATTTACAAAATTGTTAATCATTATAAAAGAGTCCAACAAATTTTAATAATGCATGGTAAAACTTTAACAAGTCTTAAATGTAAATATCATATTCTTTCATATAAACAAAATAACGTAACTATAATACTAAAAATTTTAAACAAACACACTAAAACCCCAAAAATAATACTTTTGGTTCAAAAGATCAACAAGCACGATCTAGTTAAGGACATTTAGAGACACAAATTAAAAAAACTAGCACTAAGGTAAACAAAGACAACCAAGAACCAATAACAAAAAAATCAATCTTAAAGACTTCGTATCAAACACTTCATCAATCAACATCTATGTCGTGAACATATAAAGCTTCTCTTGATACCGTAGTTATTGGATGAAACCTTCTACCATCTCTCTTCTCATAACCATCCACTATTTTATAATTATCAAGATCAACAACATCAAAATCAGTAACTTTATCAATGAAAGCATTTCAAAAATAAAACAATCCAAGAAAAATCAAAGTTTCATTATTTAATAATTACCAATACAAATAATAAGCTCTTAGTTGAACATTTTAGTGTCAAAAAATAAATAAAATAAAAAATAAAATAGAACAAAATACAAATCAAAACTTTATTATCATAATGAGAAACAAACTTCTATGTGCAAAACTTACTTTATAGCTTTAGAATCCAACTCCAATGACAACGAGTAATAAAAATAGAAAAGAATTTATTTTTTATGTGGTTATGTAAAAAATAAATATTAAGATTTGAAGAAATGAGGGTTATTTTAAAAGTATGTCTACTACATACTATGTTAGTATTGTTTTAATTTCAAGTAAAATAAAATAATTTTTTATAAAAAAACCAGTGGGCAAAATCCATTCCGCCCCGCTCTCGATCCGTTTCAAAAGTGGATTAGATGGGACCGGACACCTTAAGACATCGAGCCGAGAACTTCGTCCCAATCCGCCAAAAATGGCGGGTTAAACAAGCGGGTACTAACCGCCAAAAATTGCCACTTCTATCTACATCAAACATATTATATTCATAAAAAAAAATCATTTATTTAAAAATATTAGACCCACAAGAAAGATCCAATAAGAATAGTAAAATAAAAAGTCACATTTTTCTTTGTCAAAGACACATGATCACGCTCTCCATTACATGTTTCACCGTTGACATTTAATCAAACGGAATCTACACAAACTACCGTGTCAGTTTAGAGTAGTACTAACCGTCCATATTATATAAAAATTAGTTCACTCTATTTCGATATTTAATTTATTTTCACCATCATATTATTTTTCTTTCGGTGACCAACTTCGACGTTAAGATACTAAAATTAAAATTGTAGGTTCATTGTTCTTTAAAATACTAAAAGCTTCCTCCACCATTTGAAGACCTTCGATAATCATTTTTAAATGAAATAATTATATTTTTTTATTTTAAATTTTAACCGTTAGTTTGATGATACATTTTTATTTTTAATTATATTTTTTTACAGTGTCATTCAAATACGTTATTTTGATGACTTTTATTATGCATTTTTATCAAAATTTAACCAACAATTTCACAATATCCCAATTAATTTTCAAAACAGGTCATCATTTATATCAGCTATTAAAATATAAATAAAAAAGTAAAAATTCATAATTTAGACAAATTAAAATTTTGTTGACAAGAATACAAACAACTTAATATTCTAAATACTGATATTCAAGCAAAATAAAAATAAAAATAAATCTTATAATGGACTGAAAGTATATAAATTAGATTGGGCCAATATTAAGATCCAAGATATAGAAGCAGTGGCGAATGGCGAGAGAGACAATGAAGAAAAAGGATATTCCTCTGAACCCCAATAGATACCCAAAATATGGCACTGTAAAAAGGTTTATCCAGAACCCGCATGGTTAATCATATCCATTTCACCCTTCACTTCACTCTACACTAACTGCTTCAGTTTTGCACTCTCTCCGGGTAAGTCAATCACTTTCCAATTCATATTGTTCTTCACTTTAATCACACAATTGTTGAGTATTGATGCCTGATTCTGAAATTATCAGACTTTGTATTCTAGAGTGGTTAGCATAGTTAGCTACAAATTTGGGAATTAGGTCAGTGTGTCTGCAATTATTGTTACTTGCTCGATGAACTATATGTATTGTATTGTTATTTTAGGGAAATGCAAATAACTGGATTTTAACTCTTGTTTCAGGAACGTATTCAAAGTAGTTCGAGGAACCCTTGATCGAGATGGCTCAATTGCTATCATCTTCTTGCTCCTTGACTTTCTCTTCTACAAATAAACCAACTTTAAAACCTTTTAACCAATGTTCAGCATCATTTTCTAATAGAGTTGGTTGTAATTATTCTTCCAGAACTCGATTTAGACGTCTTTTTTTGCGAGAACAGAAGCCAAGCAAACGTTTTGCAGTTGTAAATGCTGCGACTGTTTCAACCGGGCAGGAAACTCCGGTTCAAACTAATTCCGGGGAGCCTTTTAAACCGAAGCGGGTTATGGTCATTGGTGGAGATGGATACTGTGGTTGGGCAACTGCCCTCCATCTTTCTAACAAAGGCTACGATGTTGCCATTGTTGATAACCTTGTTCGACGCCTTTTCGATCACCAGCTCGGGCTAGATTCTTTGACGCCGATTTCCTCCATTCAGGATCGTATTCAGCGTTGGAAATCGCTTACCGGGAAAAGTATTGAGCTATTCATTGGTGATATATGTGAGTTTGAGTTCTTATCTGAGACGTTCCAGTCTTACGAGCCTGATGCTGTTGTACATTTTGGGGAACAGCGGTCTGCTCCTTACTCTATGATAGATCGGTCGAGAGCTGTGTATACACAGCAAAACAATGTTGTCGGGACACTGAATGTGCTCTTCGCTATAAAAGAGTATAAAGAGGATTGCCATCTAGTTAAGCTTGGGACAATGGGTGAATACGGGACTCCGAATATTGATATCGAGGAAGGTTATATTACCATTACTCATAATGGAAGAACAGACACTTTGCCGTACCCGAAGCAAGCTAGCTCATTCTATCATTTAAGCAAGGTGCATGATTCACATAACATAGCTTTCACTTGTAAAGCTTGGGGGATTCGTGCGACTGACCTGAATCAAGGAGTAGTATATGGAGTAAAAACAGATGAGACTGCAATGCATGAAGAGCTGTGTAATAGGTTTGATTACGATGCAATATTCGGAACTGCGTTGAATCGGTTTTGTGTTCAGGCTGCTGTTGGTCATCCACTCACTGTATATGGTAAAGGAGGCCAGGTAACATAATACCAATCTCTGTTTATTTCTTATCGATAAGTGGAACATTGAATGTTTCCAACTACTTATTTTTTGCATGTATCTTGTAATGCACATATTTCAGACTAGGGCCTTCCTTGACATAAGAGATACAGTCCAATGTGTTGAGCTTGCAATTGCGAACCCGGCCAACCCTGGAGAATTTCGAGTCTTCAATCAATTTACGGAACAATTTAAAGTGAGTGAACTAGCCAACATTGTTACAAAAGCTGGCGAGAAGCTAGGTCTTGATGTGAAAACCATATCAGTTCCTAACCCAAGAGTGGAGTTAGAAGAGCATTATTACAATTGCAAAAACACTAAACTAGTTGATCTTGGACTAAGACCACACTTTCTTTCGGATTCCCTCATTGATTCACTTCTCAACTTTGCGGTTCAGTATAAAGATCGCGTTGACAAGAAGCAAATTATGCCTGGTGTTTCTTGGAGAAAGGTTGGGGTCAAAACAAAAACTATTTAAGCTTATGAAGGTGTGTTTTTGGCTGGTGTCATAATCTTATTCTGCATAATTGACTCTTCTGATGACTAGATTATGCTGAATTGCATTAAATGTATCAAATTGGGGTTTGTTTACTACAATCATGGATGATATATATCTATGTCAAACCTTCATACCCTTGTGTAGAATAATAGATCTTTGGAGTTTGAAAGTGCTTTTCCTAGAAAGTTATGTGTACCTAGGGACTGTTATTGTGTTCACTGTTACCATTTGGACTACAATATCTGTGCAGCGATGCTATTTATTTTGTTGTTTATAACTAATAGTAAGAGATCCACTTTTCTGTGCAGTGATTTTAGTTTTATACGCTGTCTTTATCTCATTGATTATATCGTTTTTTCTTATATTTATCTTCAAGACAGCACCCTAGCCGTAATGACGGCCCTCTTGTCTGTTTCTAAACTTGTAACTTCGGAGTAGCAGTGTAATTACCAACTGTTTTCTTCAGCTGGGAGACATGGAAGATACCGGTAAGTGTAGTTTGTATGTGACCTGTCCAACCTTCTGAATGATTTGGAACGGCCCCAAAAAATGAGGAGAAAGATTTTGGTGGATCCTTCAAACTACAGAATGCTGCCTGTGAAGATGCAACTTCAAAAAAATCTAGTCCCCGATATCAAATTGAACTGCTCTCCCCGTTTTGCCAGCAAAATGCTTCATATGTTCTTGAGCATTCTGTAAATTGAACTTTAGCTGACGTAATGCTTCATCCCTGTCTTGCAACTCCTTTGTCACAGCTTCAACACAGGTCTCACCCTCCAAATAATGCACCAACATCGGAGGTTTCCGACTATATACCACTTCAAAGGGTGTGAAACCTGTTGGCACATGAAAAGTGGTAATATACCACAGTTGTGCCCAAGACTTGGGTTGGTTTGAAATAAAGCAACGTATAAAGGCCTCTAGGCATCTATTTAACCAGGTTACAATGTACTGCATAAGAGTTTCGTGCAGGAAGAGCCTAAACATGGTAGTAATATTACTGGTCTTCCATATGGAGTGCTGGAAAGAGATCAGAAATATATAAAAAGGTGGCATTCGATGTATAAGCATGCAGTATTAAGGAACACAAGGGTGGAAAGACAAAAAAGCAGTACCTACTTAGAGTTTATGCTAAACTAAAACAAAAACAAGTTAAAATTCCATCACAATGGAAAAAAAAGAGTGTGCCTTCTCAACTTCTGAGAGTATGTTTGGATTGACTTCTACAATTTCAAAAATACTTTTAATCCACTTCAAATTGAAATTATTATTATTTTTTGGGTATTTTTTTAAAATCAATTCTCCTCCTCTAAAAGCATTTCTCTTAAAGGTTTTTGAGTTTAGTAGGATTTTTTATTTATTACAAGTCCTTTTAATTTTTCATCTTTACCCTCTTTAATTTGTATCAATTAATTCTTTATTTATTTATTTATTTCTATTAGAGTTTTTTATCATTTTATAATTATACAATCAAAATCAATTTTGATAAAAACCATCCAAACAAAATTAGTCGATGACAATCGCTTCTATATTATTGTATTCAAAGATAAATTAAATATATTAAACTCAATTCTTTTAGAATTAATTCTATCATAATTTTATTGATGCGAATAATTTTTTTTTTTATTTATATTTGGTAGTCTTTTTAAAATTTTGATGTGTTTGATCCACGGTTTAAAAGTCAAATACTAATCTTTCAAAGATAAATAAATTAATTGATTACTTTATCCACTTTATAGAATGTTTGTTCACTAGTGAAAAATAAAAATAAAAATCTTTAATTTTAGAAATATATTTTTAAAAGTACTCTTTTATATATATATATATATATATATATATATATATATATATATATATATATATATATATATATATATATATATATATATATATATATATATATATATATATATATATATATTCCAACACTTTGCAAGTGAGACAGCTCAATATTTTTTAAAATTTATTTGAAAACGGTCAAACCATAAATTCACCTAAATATATTTATGATTGGTGATTGGTTTATCATCTTCAAGAGATAAATAAAGCTTGTGTGTTAGTTGATGGATTTGAAACCTCTCATTTTTTCTCTCCATTTCTCTGCTCCCTCTCTATCTCTCTCAATCTTACTCTCTTTCTTCATTATAAATTTATTTTTGCTTTAAAAAATGAATGAGATTTAGAAAGATAGAAATGAAGACAAAAAAGGAGAAGAGGATCTAAAGTGTTACTTGATTGAAAGTATCAACTTTTGGAAACAAGTAAATGTCGTTCATATACACTTGTTTGTCATATCACAATGACAGATAGGACCACCAATAAACAAAAATAAAACCCGTTCATTTATTTATAAAAAAATTTTCTTTTTAATTTATTAAATAAATAATATATATAATATATGCGTTGGTTAGAATTGGACTGTACCTATGCTTTGTTTATTTTTTCTCGTTTGAATTGATTGTTTTTCAATTGTGTTTTCTCAACCACTATTAGCATGTTTGGATACGTATTGCAAAGTTTAAAACACAGCTTTAAAACGTACAAATAAGAAATTGGACGCATATTAATTGCGGAGAAGAATTTTATTTTTTAACTCTTTTAATTTTACTCTTTCACGATTATATATATATTTTTTATAATGAAGAGATTAAACGAAATTAAGAAAGGTAGAGAGTAAGACGAGAAAAATAAAGGAGAAAATCTAAAATTCAAAATCTCCACTCAAACTCAAGAATTAAAAGTTACATTCTTAAAAATAATTTATTTATTAATAATACTATTAATAAAAGATCCACTTTTCTAGTTAAAATTTAAAATAACACTATCATTTGGATACTAACTAGTAGTATTTAATTTTATACGCTTTCTTAACCACATTGATTATATCGTTTTCTTTATATATTTATCTTCAATATCTAAAGGACACTGTACTATAAAATTATATACTAATCGATTGATATTAATTGCTTTTGTTACAATAATTTGTTTCATTTTCTTGTCCATATTTAAGTAAGTATCGTCGTGTCTTTTAGGGGACTATTAGAAATTTAAAAGTGTGAATGCTTATGGTGTCTCGGTGTTTTATGACATCCTCATGATTCAAAAGCAATGAGAGTTGATGATTTGATTTAGAGGTGCTCGATTCTTTATTATTATGTTTGAATGGTAAATTATTAGTGGTTTATATAAAAGCAATACAAGTGTTAGTATATACAAGTAAAACATTATTTATTTATTTATTTAAGAGACTCACATTTAAGGTCATATTTAAGGATGGCAAAGCGGACGGTCCGTCCCGTTTAGACCCGTCTTGTTTAACTCTGTTTAAAGTAGGACGTGGTAGGCCAATTTAGGTGTCTGAGCTTAAAAGTCAAACCCGTCCCGTTTACTAACGAGTTGGCGGGTTGGTGGACTGATCCGTCATTTTTTTTACAATTTGATTTATTACATAATTTACAAAATTATTAATCAAAAAGGCCGACAAATTTTAACAATGCATAGTAAAACTTTAATAAGCCTTAATGTAAATGTCATATTCTTCAACATAAATAAACAACGTAACTATAATACCAAAAACTTAAAACAAACACACTAAAACCCCAAAAATCAAAACTTTATTATCATAATGAGAAACAAACCCCTCTCTGCAAAACTTACCACATAGCTTTAGAACTCGACTCCAATGACAAGGAGTAATAGAAAATAGAAACGGATGTATTCTCTATATTTTCCAATAAAGACTTTTCCTACTATGAGTGAAAATAAAGAACAAAGTAGAGACCAATTAATGTCTTCAAAATAAGGTGTTTGTGGTTATGTAAAAAATGAATATTAGAGTTTAAAGAAATGGGGATTGTTTTAAAAGTATGTATACTACATACCAAGTTAATATTGTTTTAATTCCAAGTAAATTTTTTTTTCTAAACAAAAAGCCTATGGGCAAAATCCGCCACGCCCCGCCCTCGACCCGTTTTAAAAGTGGGTTAGGCGGGGCGGGCCAACTTAATACACTGAGGCAAAAACCTCGTCCTGGCCCGTAAAAAATGGTGGGTTAAACGAACGGGCCTGACGGGCCCAACCCGTTTTGCCACCCCTACCCACATTATCATTTGTTAAATATATAATTATTTGTGTTAATTATGGAGTAGATTTGATAGAGTCAAAGTCGAACGTATTCTATAAAGTATTAATCGAATATAATTTTTAGCAATCAAAGTATGTAGTTGTGGAATGAGAGCAAACTTCGATAAAGTTAAAACTTAGTATTTGTTTTGTAACAGTTGTGTTAGTTAGAGAGATTAATTGGTGCGTAAGTAATCTCAATTATAAATAGAGAAATACCCTATGTTTGTAAGAAGAGCAGAGAGAACAACTTATAATTATCCAATAAAATTCATTTTTATCTCAAAATCCTAATTTTCATCTTTCTCTCTTTTCTCTCTCTCAATTATCTCATTTCATCAAATTTTTATGCGGCTGAATCATCTTACAACCAAGGTTTGGTTGAATCACTTAAGTGAAGAGTGAAGAACGAGAGGTGTGATCAATCAGAAAGATTGATTCTCGTTCAATCAAGATTGATTCAAATTATCTCGAAGATTGAGTTTAATTCCAAAATATGGTATCTAGAGCTTTAGCTGCAATTCTTATGAAGCATAAAACAATGACTTCTCATTTGAACGAGTATTTTTCAGCAAACCTTCTAATCTTGAATGGTAAGAATTATGACAATTGGTGTAAGCAGATGAAGGTTGTTTTCTATTATCAAGATATTTGGGATCTTGTGAAGAATGGAGTGACGCCAATTGGAGAAGATGCTATGGATGAAGAAAATGTTGTACATAAAGATTTGAAGAAGAAAAATTATAAAGCTCTCTTTATAATTCATCAATCCGTTGATCCATACAACTTTGAGAAAGTTGATGATGTAGACTCAACAAAGGAAGCATGAGACATCCTGAAGAAATCGTACGAAGGCG